TTTTGCTTTCACACCACACATATAATTTTTCATTCATCAGCTTCATATTTTTTTACAATCGCTTTCATTTAAAATAATATATTGTTTTATATATCTTTATTTTTCTTTTTATTTGTAAATAATAATTATTTTTTTTATATCTTTAATATTTTTATATAATTTATAAATAATTGTTTATTTTTGTAAAAAAAAATGGATTATTTTTTATTTTTGTATATTTTTTTATTTTTAGTTTGTGCCATTGGTTTTTATTCAACTTTTCGTTTTGGTAAATTATTTACCAAAAAAAGCATCACCCAAGTAGAGAGTTGGGAAAAAGACGACCACCAACTCGAAGACTCTGACCAATTGGATGATTTGGTAAATTCATTTGGAAGTCTAAGTGTTCTAACAAGTGAAGAAGAAATGGAAAATAAACAACTTATGGAACAATATTCAAATCTTCTCCAACACTTCGACAATACCCTAGATGAATGTAGTAATAAACTTGATCAACAATTAAAAGTTTTAGAGTCTTTAAAAAAAAATAATAATGGTTGATAATATACTGTTAGAGCTCTTATAGACACGGGTGCATTGAAATACTTTTAAAAACCTTTAAATATAAGTAAGTAAATAAAAACATTATCAAAAACATCAAATCTATTTAGAAATGGGATTTGTTGAACAAAAAAGGAATATATGAATTACTAAACCAAATAAATTTCTATTATATTTAGTGGTGTATATCAAGTAATATTTCATAAAGTGGTAATGTCATTTATTGGCTTCATAGAATCTGTTGCACCACTTAAAATTTAGAATTTGTTCCATCAAGTGTTGTGAATAGTTTATTTCATCAAATAATGGTATTTTAGAGTCTGGATCAAATAATAATAGCTTAGAACCTGCACCAAATAGTAATGTAGAATCCGAATCATGTATTTCTGTAAAATCAACATCAAATAGTAATGTATATCCGAATCATGTATTTCTGTAAAACCTGCATCAAATAGTAATGTAGAATCCGAATCATGTATTTCTGTAAAATCTACTAATAAAGTAGTTGGTTATTTCTTTCATCAAACTGCTGTGTAGAATCTGACCGATTTGTAATGTGGAATCTGTTACATCAAGCTGTAGTGTAGAATTTATTGCACCAATAATAGTTCCTTAAAATTTGATTCATCCAGTGGTGCAAAATCATCTGATCCAACTGTTGGTGACTCTGCTGCTCAAATGGCCTAGCTACTTATTTAAAAATTTATATAAACAATAAGAAAAAGGTGTAGCCATCCATATCCTTTTGAAAGGTGCTGAATATTCTAGATATTGCTACGAATATTTCATATGTTGTTATTCTTTTCGATGGTGATCGGAACCCGCAAATGGATTATTAACTCAAGATTGTGCCCAGAGACTTGTAAATAATCAAACTAAAATTGTATATGTTCATCAGTATAAGGTTCATTTAAATTTATCACCCAAAATTAATTTTAACAAAAAATAATAATTTCAACAACATGCAATAACCAATACACTTTATAGCAATAATCTCAAATATAGTAATTAGTTAATAATAAAATATTTTGAAATATTAAAAAAAAATAATTTTCACTTAAAGTTACAGAAGATGGTATAATCCCAAGATTTGGAAAAAGAAGAAAAAGAAACAAGAACAGAAGAAGAAAATGATAGCTAAAACTCATTCATCTTTTTAAAAAAATAATAAAATTAAAAGTTTTATATTTTTTATTTATTTTTATTTTAAATTTTACAAAATTTTGTTTTCTTCTGATACATTATTTGGTTGTGTGTTATTTTCATATTCCGCCGACATTATTGATGGATTTTCACCATTACTAATGCTTTGACTACTTCATTATATTTTTTTATTTGATTTATAATTTCATTTCTTATTTTTTCTATTTCTTTTGTATAATTTTCTATTTTCTTTTCTATATCTATTTAAATTTCATTCTTTGTGCTTTCAATAAAACCCACATCAGCATTTTTAGGTATTTCCTGCTTTTCTTTAAATTTCTCTTTCAATTTATTTAATTTGACACTAATGGATGCTAAATATTTGAACTTTTAGAATTTGCTGATCTTTGAATTTAATGAAAGTGTTTTTTGTTAGTACAAAGATTCTATTATTGGGTTTTAAAATCTTCAATACCAAAATATTTGATATCATAATTGCATACTCTACAATCTTTATTCTTTCTTGAAGACTGTTCATAAATCAATTGGTTTGATGGTGTGTCTTTGCTAATGTTTGGGAATATATGTACATTGAAAAGCGAAAATATTTGCCATCAATTATTATATGATATTATTATAGTATATTCAATAAATAAATGATAAATTTAATAAAAAAAAATTTTTAAAAAAATTCAAAATTATTTTTTATTTATTTTTTTTAATTTTTTTTTTTTTTCTTAAAATTGTTCTGTTCATTTAATATTAAATCGAATTAGCTAAGTGTAACATTTTTTTTCTAATGAAATAATGGACTTTTGTTATTCAATTATACCTATTCATCATATACTAGTGATCAAATAGTTTATAAAAGTTTTTTAATGTTTTATAACATTCTCCACAAAAAATAACAACATCTTCCCAATATAATACATCACCCCAATTTGAAAAAGAACTCCAGCAATTATCAATTATAAAGTAATAAGTAGGGATTATTGAAGAGAAAATGCCACCTCCCACCTCCACCTCCACCTCCACCACCTCCCACCTCCAATTTATAAAAAATTCAAATACATTGTATAATAAATATTTTTTTTATGAAATAATTTATTATTTTCTTTTTTGTATTCTATAAACGAATATAATTTTTTATTTATTTATTTTATTATTCTATGCAGTATGGAGTATGGTTTATTGTCTGGATATTTTTTTGGAGTATTTAGATTTGCTTTATACACTATAAAAAAAAAAACGACAAAAATTTCAACGATAAACCTTTTAAAAAAAATAATTTTATTTGATTTTTGTTTATTACAAAGAATATTATTTATTTATATACAAATTTTTAAAAGTTTTGAAAATATTTTTAGTTTCATTTGTTATATTATCTAAAGATAGAATATTGATTTGATTTGGTAATTTGAAATTATTTGGATTGTATCTTATAAAATCTAAATATTTTATTATATCGGAAGAACTATGTTGATTTAGTTTCGATTCCCAATCATTAAATTCGATAGGCGATAATGGATATTCTTTGGAGATAATTGAAAAAAGTTCTTGTAGAGTAATTGGGTCACCAACAATATTATAGCCTTTGAAGTTGCTTGACCAATAATTATCATTGAAAACTGTATTAATAATACTTTCTGATAGCCAGTTTATTGGAGCTGTATTTGTTTTGAAATTGACATTAATTGGGTATGAACCAGTCAATATGCAGCTTTCTATGAGTGAGTACATTAGATTGTTATTGCTTGAGGTTGATATTATGAATGGTGATCTTAATATTAAGCAGGGTACATCGCATTGTGTTGAATATTGTTGAATTAAGTGTTCAGAGACTGATTTTGAATTTAAATAACCACTAAAATTATTTTGTTCATTGCTAAATATTGGTAACTGTTGGTCTGTGTCGAATATATTTTGATTAAAAGATAAAAATGAAGGTGTAATATGGATAATTCTTTTGAATGATGATGATGCAGATATTTTAATAATTTCTCTAACACCCTGTACATTAGTTTCTTTACACTCGTCATATGCAGAGTTGAAATTATTATTGGATGCTAAATTGATAATTATCTGAACTGATTTTGCTAGATGTTGATATTCAGAATCTGAAAGACCAAGATTTTGTTTGTCCAAATCTCCAATTACCGGGATAATCTTTTTACGATCTTTTTCGTTTATTTGATCATAGTTTTTTAAAGTTGTTTGTATCTTTTGATCAGCTTCTAATGAATTTTTTACATTTCTAACTAAGCAGAATATAGTTTCACAATTTTCAACCTTTAACAATTTTTCTAATAAATGTGAACCTATATTACCAGTGCATCCTGTTAACAATATTTTTAATGGTGAACTAATTGATTCTATTGATTTCATTAAACCATCTTTATTTGATTTTATATCTCCATCTAATAAGATTTCACTTTCCCAATCTATTAAAGTTTTGCTAAAAGTTATTGTTGGTTTAAAGTTATTACTATTGCTGTTTTGATAATTTTTTTTATCGGTACCATTATTATTTACTTTGTTTATTATTGTTTGAATAATTTGGTTAATGGTAAGATTTTGTAATTGGATAATAGTAAATAAATTTTCAGCATAATTTTTATCCAACCAATTCTTAAATTGAACTACAGCTAAACTATCAAATCCAAAATCAATAATACGGCTATCAAGGTTTAAACGAGATGGTTCAATTGATAAACTTTCGGCAATTTTGTTAATAAGTTCATCTCTAATTGATGATTCATTCTTGTTAAAAAGCTTCTTTCTTGATTGAACTGCATTAAAGAGATAGTCATATTTGTATTTGATTTGTTTATATGGCCATGCATTGTTTTCTAAAGCATCAAAGTTAAAGTTATGAATCATTAAATCGGCACAATAAGTTGGATTTTGTAATAGTAAATCAATTGAACCAAGAAAAACATTACATGGTATATTGCTGATACCTTGACCTTCAAGCAAACTTGCAATTGAAACTTGTTTTGTAATGATACCTGCTGATCCTACCAAGCCCCAGTTAACATTCATAATTGGTAATCCTATTGACTTTCTATATCGACCAAGAGCATCCAAAACACTATTAGCTGAAACATAACCCATTTGATTTGTACTACCAAAAGCAGAAGCAACTGATGAAGTGGTAACAAAATTTTTTAGCTTCCAATTTCTTTTCACTGAAATATTGTGTAGATTTAAAGCACCCATAGTTTTAGCAGCATGCGATATTTCGATATGATCCATATTAATAAATTTTGGTTCAAATACATTGGTATAGCTGAATGCAAAATGGAATACTACATCTATTGGTGGTATTGTTGGATTTTCATTATAGATTGAATCAATTGCACCTTCCAGATCATCAATAATTGATACATCGACACTCTTGAAATAAAATTTGATTTTGCCATCTTGTTCATTTTTTATCTTATTGATTAAATACTTTAGTTCCCATTTTAGTTCTGATTTTGATAATACGATTATATGTTTAACCGAGTCAGAGTACTTAGAAATCCATTTCATTACCTCAAATATGAGACCACCTTGACCTGTAACTAAAATTGTTTCACCCAATGATTGAGGATCAATTCTATATTCATTTGGTGGTTGTAAAATAATCTGGTTTGATTTATTCTTTTTCTCTAGTAATGGTGTAATTAAATCTTGGTCAATATTTATAACAATTTTGCCGATATTCTTTCTTTCCCCAATAAATTCGATTGCATCTTTAATGTTTGAAACTGAATATTCATTGATTGGTATCAAATCTAACTGGTTACTTTCTAAACCATTTAATAGTTTTTTCATTAGTTTTAATAGAATTTCTGGTGGGATTGATGTTAATTCAATATTATGGTAGCTAATGTTCCATTTGAATTTGTTGAAATCGGTATATTCATGAATATTTAAATGGGTTACTGATAGGTCAATAAATCTGCCCATTGGTGCAATAACTCTAAAATTTGCATCTAAAAATTCGTTTGATAATGTATTTAAAAGTATATCTACACCAGTTTTCTTTGATCCAAGTTGCTTTAACTTTTCTTTAATTTTTCTTTCGAAATGGGAATCTTTTGATGAATATATTCCAGTTATAAAATCACCATATGTATTTCTTAGATACTCTTCTTTTTCTTTTGAACTAACTGTAACAAATAAATAGGAATTGAAACCCAAGAATTTAAGTATATTAATTGCTGATAAACCGACACCACCGGTTGCACTATGGATTAATACTGTATCTTTGTTCTTTATTGATAAATGACCAACTTTCAAGAAACTATATAAACATGTTAAATATACTGATGGAATTGAAGCAGCTTGTGTGAAAGAGATACATGATGGCTTTATCAAAAATTTGCACTTATCATCGATAATAGTTGATGAGGTTGCATTTCGAGTTGGGCCGAATACTTCATCACCAATTTTGAATTCGGTAACATTGGAACCAACTCTTGTTACAATACCAGAGCAATCCAAACCAAATTCTGGTTTATGAATATCGCCTTTGGAGCTTCTTAATTCTGGTGGTACCAAGCCACGATAGATAAGGTTATCTTTAAAGTTAATACCAACAGCTTTAACTTCAACTTCAATACTATCTTCCAATAATGGATCTTTTGAGTCCAATTGATATTCTAAATTTGAATCTAATCTTGCATAAAGGTTATCTTGGTTTTGATAGGTTGTTGATTTAAATTTGGTGGGTGTATATTTTTCTAGTTTAGCCCTTTCAAAATATGCGATATTGTTTCTAATGATATATTCTCTTTGGATATTGCTACTTGGGTCAATAAGAGTTTCTATCGTTTCAATAACATTTGAAGCTTCAATGGATTCATTATCAAAGTCAATAAGGAACAATAATGGCTGAACTTCATGGAAAAAGGTCATTCCACCAACAACTGAACCTGCTAAATAATTTTTTGATTCTTTTTCAGAATATGTTGTAACTAATATATGTTTGATTGTTTTATTTTCTTTTACTAAATATTGATTAATGTTGACATAGTCTAATGTTATTTTCTTAAAATTATCGACAGTTACTTGATCAATAGTGGATATAAAGTAAATTACAGAGTTGTCTGAAGGTGGATTTGAGATGATATGGCTATTAAAATCTTCAATAGTTTTAATTTCTTTAATTATTTTACTATTGTTACTGGAATATGCCGAAATGATTTTGGATTTAAAATTTGTTGATATCTGAGAGCTACATTCGCCAAAAATAATTACCTGATCATAAAATGGTAATTGATTATTGTTTAAAATTTGGTTTGTTATTGTTGGTTTTTCTAATAATATTACATTAGAATTATTTTGATCTCTATTATTAATGAACCCAACTTGGCATGCGGTAGATTCGAGTTGATCATTAACAGATTCATCATCTAAAGTAATACCCTTGGGAATTATTAATTTACCATTTGGTGTTGATAATTTGTAAAGTTCTGATAATGTTGATTTTAAAGAGTTTATTGAATTTAAATCACTTGACAATAAAATAAAATCATAGTATGATGGATTGATAGAATATTCTTTTTGTGGATTAAATGTTTGAATGATTGGTTCGTTGATTTCGATTGTTTTAAATAATAAACTACCTTTGAAAAATGATAGTTTATTTTTAATATCTCTTTTAAAATCTTCTTGAATATTTGTTAAGGTATATTCGATATCTAATTCAAATAATTCATTTTCATATAATGAGTTTATCTGTTCTAATATATTTTGAGTTTTTAGAATACTTTCATTGAGGATATTGTCCATTTCTTTTTCTTTTTCTATTTCATTTTCTTTTTCTTTTTCTTTTTCATTTTGATTTTGATTGTTATCTCCTTCATTCTCTTTAATTATTTCATTATAAATTTCTAATATTCTAACCACATATTTTTGATTTGAAATTGGTTCAAGTGAGTTTTTGATAATTTTGCCAATAGGTTCATTAGCATCAAAATCTTGAATTTTTATTTGAGAGTCTTTTGGTTGAAAATTAAAAGTAAAAAATGATTTGTATGGATATTCAATGTTAAGATTGTCTCTAATTGGTGTTAATGATGTGCAAACAATTCTTGAAGCCTCAATTAGTGGGGTTCCATCTTTAAGCATTATTAAAACAGAGGAGAAAAACGAATCACCTACTCTCTTTTCTGATTCTGAATAAACATAAATATGGGTATGATCATCTCTTGTTTCTGGTATATTCTTTGAATAAACTTTGTAATCTTCAACTCTGTCAAATACAATTTGAGAGAATCCATCGAAACCACCGACCATACCATGGAGACAACTATCCAATATAGATGGACTAAAAAAATGTTGGTTATCAACTTGAGAATTTGGGGGATGTAGAGCAACTTTTGTTAATGTTTTATTTTGACCAATATAACATTTCTCTACTCTTTGAAAACATCCTGAATAGCCAAGACAAGTTTGAGCTTTAATTTGCATGTATAATTCAAATTTCTTTAAAGAGGTATAGTTACACTGAGCTTTTAATTCTTTGATATTGTATTTATGGTTTACTACAGTTTCCGAATGGTCAAGTTGTAATATTTTACCTGTTGAAGTTTGGATCCATCTCTCGCTATCAATATCATCTTTGAAGTGAAAGTGAACTTTAAATTCATTCCTTGATGTTTTATAAATATTGGTCTGTAAATATTTGCTTGAACCTTCAGTTAAGATAAGAGGTGTTTTAAACTCTAATTGGGTAATGTTTATATCTTTTCCTTTGAACAAACTTAAGATATTGGAAATATATGAGCATCCTGGTAAAAAGTATTTGTTTTTAACTTGATGGTTCTTATAGAATTGGAATGGTTCATTCTTTAGGTCAATTACAGCCATTCTTGAAATGAATGGTGATGAGTCATTCTCAATACCCAATTGGCTATTTGATGGACCCTCCAATCTACGTCTTAAAAATGTTTTGTTCTCGAACCAGTAGTCTTTTTCGTCAAATTGATAGTGTGGAAGGCTGTCAGTGTGTAACTTAAAGGTTAAATCTTTCTTTTCACTATCAGTAAATTGACATGTAAAGTCGACACTATAACCACTGCAGTATACTTTTGATATTGTTGTTTGAATTTCCTGTATGTCTGATTTGTTTTTGTTTAGTGATGAAATAAATGCTATGGAACTCTTACTAAAGTATATTTCTTCATCATTACAAAAATCATAAGCTATTTGTTTCAAATAATAGGATAACACTGGATGGGGTGATATTTCTAAAAACACTGGATTTGAACCCAAATTATTTGATTTGATATACTCCATAATATTGGAAATTGCTTTGCTAAATAATACTGGTTTTCTAAGGTTATCATATAAATACTCTTTGTTAAATTGCTGATCAATATCAAATTGGTTACCCGAAACTGTTGAAAATGTTGCAATGTTTGGCAATTCATTAAATTCATATTTGTTAATGTTAAATAATTCATCTTTAATCATTTCTTGGCTTGAGGTATGATATGATGCGTGTGTACCCAACATTGCACAAAAGATCTCCTTTTCCTTTAATTTATTTGAAATTTCAACCAATTCACTTTCTTTACCACTTATTACGATTGATGATGGGGAATTGTAACAACTAATTTCGATTGAGGGATATTGTGATGAGTATTCATCTTTAAACTCTTGCTCACCGATAGAAATCGACAACATTCTTCCACTACCAATAGTTTTATGTTGCAATCTACTTCTTTCATAAATAATATAGCATGCAGTATCAAGTGATATAATTCCTGAACAATATGATGCTGTAACTTCACCAAAACTTTTTTAAAATTAAAAAAAAAATGTTAGAATAAATGTTGGATGTGTTTATAAAACTAAATAAAATTATAATTACCTATGACCAACTAAAACTAATGGATGAATACCCCAGTGCTTATAAAGATTAAATAATGAGACTTGAATCATAAATATACTTGGTTGTGCAATTAATGGGTCATTTATTGAAAATAAATCATCGTCGGCAATCGATCTAAGTTTTTCTAATATTGAATAACCATAGTATTTCATCAGCATGTTGTCAACGTTGTCAATTGATTCTTTAAATATTTTGTCTTTGTTGTAAAGCTCTAAACCCATTTTATTTGAATGGCTACCTTGTCCTGAAAATACGAAAACTAATGGTGGGTTTTTTATATCTGTGCTTAAATTTGATGATTTATTATTTTCAGTGACTACTTTTTTTATGGTTGTTGGTTTCTCAGTCATATTTTCATTTGGTTCATTTAAAGTGATACTTTTTAATGAGCTCCAGTCTTTAAAAACTACAACATCTCTTTGGGGAAAAGATAATGATTTTGAATAGATTTGATGTTTGATAAGGTCTAAAACTTTAATATTATTTAAGATTAAGCTATTGTATAATTTAAAATGGTACATTTCTAAAGATCTCTTTGAATTGGCCGAAAATGGTAAAAGATATTCCTTTTCAGAGTCTTCCATAGAATTAGCACCGTCTATATCATTCTCTTTGTCACCATTAGATAGATGTTCGTTTGAATATTCAGTTAATACCAAGCAACAATTTGAACCTGTTACACCAAAGTTATTGATTACCATTGAAATTGGTTTACAACTGCCTCTATCTGATGATATTGATTCAAAAGGTATTGATTCTGTAACGACTTTTAATTTCCATTCTTCAAAGAGGATATTTGAATTTGGTGTTTTAAAATTAATATTTGGTAAGAGTTGTTTGTGTTGAAACATTAAGCAACATTTGATGAGAGATGCAACACCTGATACAGTTTCACAATGGCCAAGATTTGATTTAATGGTACCTATATATAATGGGTTATCTTTTGTGAAATGATCTTTAAAAATCATTGAGATAGCTTCACATTCAATTGGATCACCTACTTTTGTACCAGTTCCATGACACTCTACAAACCTAATATCAGATGGATGAATATTTGACGACTTTAGTGATGAGAGAATATTTTGATATTGAGAAAGCTTTGATGGTGAAAATAAGCTATTTTTATTAAAATTACCATCGACATTTGAACTACCGCCATTGATTACACAATAAACTCTGTCGCCATCTCTAATTGCACTGGATAGTCTTTTCAATATTACACAACCTGCACCCTCGGCTCTAATGAAACCATCTGCATCTTCATCGAATGATTTACATTTGCCACTTGTACCAAGAATACCTAAATAACTTGCAGTTTTGGTTGATGTAGGATCCAATATTAAATTACAGCCACCAGCAACCGATAATTCTGATTCTCCATCAACAATACTCTTATATCCTAAAAGAACAGCATTTAATGAACTTGAGCATGCAGTATCGATACTTAGGGATGCGCCACGAAAATCAAAGCAATAGGAAATTCTATTTGAAATTGTATGTAAATTATTATTAAATAAATTTACATGTTTATGAATATCAAGGTTAAACTGAGATTGAAAATCTGCTGTACTTGCACCAACAAATACAGAAGTATTTGAACCACGTAGTTTAGTTGGATCGATATGGGCGTTTTCAAATGCTTCATAAATTGTTTTCATCAATACTCTTTGTTGACAATCAATAGTTGGAGCCTCAGTAGGATTAATACCTAGAAAAAAATAAAATAGTTAAAAAACAGTTAAATTAAAAGTTATTTTTATGAAATAAAAATACATACCAAAAAAGAGAGGATCGAATTTCTTCCATTCCGTTTCTAAATCTACCAAACCTGCATATTGAGTTTTAATGTACCCCAAATCATTATAGGTCTTTGCCCATCTTTTGTCTACTGCGTTATCGATACAATCTATCCCATTTTTTAAAGTATTGAATAGTTCTTCGGGATTTGAGTTTTTTGGTAATCTAAAACCATAACCAATTACTGCCACTTTATTCCTATCATCTTGACTATTGATTTCAATAGAATTCATTTTGAAATATTATTAATAAATAAGAAAAAAAGTTAAAAAGATTGATTAGAATATAACTTAAAAATAATTTATATATATTGATCAATATTTATTTTTTTTTTATTTTAATCTTTTTATTTTTTTTTTGTTTTAATCTTTTATTTTTTTTATTTTTTTTATTTTTTTATATTACAAAAACTAACAGTTTTGTTACATTTCCCAATAATATATTTGGAAATAAGGAACCTGTTATTCTTAAAGATTAAACCAAAACTGTTTGTTATTTTTTCCAATATCTCAACACATACATTTTTATAAAAATCTTTTAAAATTTTTTTTTTTTCAACACTGTTAACATATAAAAAAAGAAATTTTTGTGTGTTTACTAAAAGAAACACACAAAATTAATTAAAAATATAAAAATAAAAGAAAAAAATAAATAATAATTTTGAAAAAATTTAATTTTTTTTTTTTTTTTAAAATTAATTTTTTTTTTAAAAATTTAATTTTTTTTTTTAAAAATTAATTTTTTTTTTTTTTTAATTAAATTAAATTAATTAAAATTGAAGAAAACAAAGATAATGGTTCAAAATATTATTTTTGATTCGCATTTTAAAATAAATTAAATCAAAAAAAAAAAAAATAAAAAAAAAAAAAAAAAGAGAAAAAAAAAAAAAAAAAGTTTAAAAAAGGAAATAAAGCTTCTCGAAATCCCAAAAAAGGAAATATCTACATTAGCATTTTTTTTATTTCTTTGAATTACCTTTTGAAGAGAATGTAATTTAGATTTAAAAAAGGATGAATGAGAGCAACACATTCATAAAATTGAATGGATGTGATATGATTTATTTATGGTGTTAAATTTACAAATATGTGAAAATATAGTGAAATGTGAAACAAAAAACAATCTATATAAATAAGCAATAATTGAACATATATGTTAAAATATTTTAAAAAAAAATAAATTATATATTTTTTTAAATTAAAATAAAAGGGGGTAAAAAAAAAATAAACAAAACTTTTAAATATCAAAAGACATACTTCTTTTATTCTTTTTATTACTTGTTATTTAATTTATGTTTATATATATATTTTAAAAAAAATATTGCAAATTTTTAAAATCGTGGGTTATAAAAATAAAAAAAAATAAAAAAAGTTTAATTTTTTTGCAAAAATATATACATTCTTTTAAATTAAAACTATAATTAAAATTTCAAAGCTATATTGCTTTAAAACATTCCCCACAAAAAAAAAAAAAAAAAAAAAACAAATAATAATTATTACTATTATAAAAATTAAATAAATGTAAGTACTTTTATTACTATAAAAACAAAAATATTATTATTAATATCTGAAGATAAATTTTAATGTTTAAATTTATTTATAAAAAAAATAAAAAATAATAAAAATAATAAAAATAATAAAAATAATAAAAAAAAAATAAAAAAGATTAAGAAAAAAAAAACTTTAAACAAATAATTTAAATGATGTAAATTTAAAAATAAAATTAATATTTAATCTTTTAATCTATATTTACTAATTACTATTATTTCTATTTTCCTCATTTGTATTTCTATTTTTTGTGGTTATGTGTATGTATATTTTTTTATTTTTTTTATTAATTTATTTTTTTTATTTAATTAATTTTTTTTTATTATTTTTTTTATTTATTTATTAATTTCATTTGTGTGTGTATTTTTACTTTTTTTAATTAAATCCTTTTTCCTTTTTTAATAAATTATTGTATTTTGTTTTATTTTTTATCAAGTGTGGTGCCGTTAATTTTGTGTGTGTTGTTGAATTTCAAAAGAATTATACATATTACCATATAATAAAAAAAAAAAGAAAAAAATTAGGAAATATATATTTTTTTTTATTAAATATTTAATTAAAAATAAAAAAAAAAAAATAAAAAAAAATAAAAAAATAGTAATTAACAGTAACGAAACTTACAGATGAAAAGGTATGACTGAAAGAGGATTATGTTCAATCAATGTTAAATTTGCGGCCAAGAAGAATAAGGAATTTGGATTCTTTGAAATGATGATTTCAATATTTGGGCAACCATCCTGTAAATTTAAAAGTGGTGACGATACATTTGGTGTAATTCCAATAGAAAAAGGTAAATATATTGTTTTTATATTGTGTGTGTGATACTTAAATTATTTTATACTAACCCAAAAAAATTATATTTTAAAGATAATAATATAGTGTTTCATATATCTATTAGAAACAATTTTACTAAAGAATACAGTTTAATTACAAGCATCACATTTAGTTTTGATTCTAAAAGTGGGACTGCTACATGCTATAAACCAGTGGAGTATGTATAATTTATATATTATATTAAAGTAATCAATTGCGCCAATTTGGTGTGGTATTTTTTTTTTTTTTTTTAAAGATGGATTTTAATAATTTTTTTTTTATTTAGATTTCCTTACAATTTACAAATAATTCAAAATAATAAAACGAATTTCACTTTTATACTAGATGATTATTAATCACTTTAAAGAAGATTTTAAAATAAAAAAAAAATAAAAAAATATATCTTAAAAAAAATAATTTTTTTTCATTTTTATTAATTAATAAGATTATTATTTTTTCTTTTCACACAGATAATGAAAAAATACAAATAAAATTTATTAAGTTAGGAATCTAACATCGAATTAAGTTTATGTTATAAAAGAAAAGGAATTTTTTCTTTTTATGCATTTTATAAAAAAATTTTGTTTTAGAAGCACGTGCAAAAGTTTTTAATAACCAAAGAGTTTAAAATATCAGGGAACCCACATTCATGGGATCTTTGTTTTTCACAAACTTTTTAACCGTTTTTTTTTTTGAATAAATATCACTATTTAAAACCAAAAATTTTCATTTTTTTTTTTTTTTTTAAGTTTTTTGAGTTTTTTTTTTTGGATTAATATTGTAAAAAATTATTGATTTTTAAATTTTTTTTAAAAAAAAAAATATGGTTTTAAAAAAAAAAAACAAAATTTTTTTATTTTTATTTAATTTTTATTGACCCAAATGAAAGAATACAATAATAAATATCATAAAGTTAAGAAACTAACATCGAATTTAGATAGAGTTGTTTATTTATATGAATCTATTCAAGAAAAAAAAGTAATTATTAATTTATAAAAAAAAAAAATAAAAAAAAAATACTAATAAATTTATAGCTATATATTTGTAAAAGAATTAAACTATTTAATTTAGAAACTTTAAATGATTCTGAAATAGAACCCGAAAAGAAATTTGCCGAATCAGTAAACCAAGAACTCAAATTTTTAGAACAATATTCAAATAAAGAAAAATACCCACATTTAAATATTATTCAATATGTTGAAGATTTTATCACCAAAAAACCAAATAAAGACTATTACCATTTAAATATCATCACTGAATTTTATGAAAATGGAGATTTGTCAAATTTCAAAGGGTATTTATTATATTTATATAAATTGCTAAAAATAATAAATTTAAAATTTTTTACTAATAAATTATTTTAGATTTTCTTTTTATAATATTGTTTATTTATTGGTTAAGATTCTAATAATTTTAGACCAGTTTAAAGACGATGAGTTTGTTCATAGAGATATTAAACCAGAAAATATATTTTATAGAACACTTATTGGCCCCAATAAAGTTACAGGAGATCAGGAATATGAGTTTTATTTAGGTGATTTGGGATCCTCAAGAATTATTTTGGAACTAACTCAAGATGGCCGTTATACTCAAGCAGGAACTAATAAATTTATAGCACCTGAAGTAATCGAGGGATATTATAACTCCAATGTAGATGTTTACAGTTTAGGTGTTACTTTATTAAATCTTTATGAAAATACATGTACACCTGAATATAATTTAGTTTTTATTGAAATATTTCAAAAAATGGCCAATGAAGACAAAAAAAAAAGACCACAACCATCCCAAATATTAGAATTCATTTGTAAACACTTTGAATTTTTAGGATTATCATCTGGGGATCTCATTCATAGAAATCTAAAAGAATCATTATATTTTGTTAATCAAAAATACAATTTTTTTAAAAAAAGTATAAGTCCAATAGAAATCGCTTTTAATTTTAACAATCAATCATTAAATTTTTATAATAAAACTATCTTTTTAAATAAAGATAATAATAATAATAATGATAATAATAATAACAATAATATTTATAATAATAATAATAACAATGGTTTTGATATTACCAAAGATTATAAATGTATTAGTTGCCATGCAAGATATACTAAAAAGGAATATTATATCATAATTGATGGAAAGGTATGTATTAACTTTGTATTTTAAAATTAAAATAAATTATTTTAATTCTAATATTTATTTTTTAATAGTATTTTAGTTTGTTTTCTTTTAAAAACTGTTTACATCCAGATATGAAAGATTATTTCGATCTAATGTTTTCTGAAGAAATGTTTTCATTTTATTTTATGGAATGTTCAAAAGTTTTTCCATTTAGTTTAGAACCAACTACAATTACACTTAAGGATGTCAGTGCAACTGAAGATGGAAAGAATTATTATTTAATAGTTAACCCAACTGAAAACAATTTAAAACAAATATCAATTCAAAATCCAAATGCCATAACAAAGAAAATTCAACTAATATTATTATTTAAATTAATTTTATTATTTTTTCAAATTTTCGAAAAAGGAGATTTAAAAATGTTGAATTCATATTTTGATAATTTTAGTGGCTTACAAGTATTTTTAACAAACAAAAATGAACCATCCAAAGATGAAGAAAATCAAGAACCATTCAATGATGTTAAGTTTTCAATACTCTCTACTATTTTTAATCTAACAGAGAAACTACCTAACTTCATAGAAAATGTCTTCAAAGTCTATAATATAGAAACCAAAGATCCAGTCATTGATAAGATTTATGACTATTTTAGGGTAAGTATTGTATTAATATTACTTTTATATTACATAGTATAAATTATAACAAATATTTTTCTTATCATAGACAACCTTCGAAAAGGCAGAAACACCAGTTTATTTTCATTATAAATATATTTATCAAATTTTAGAAAATGAAAAAGAAAGATTAATTAATGAAAATAAATACTTAATGGAATATTATGATAAGTTAGATACAAGCTATAACAATATTTTAAAGAAAACTTCTATTCCTGAAGCTTTTGTTATTATTAAACAAGTTATACCATTTCTTGCAAAAATCCCAAAAAATTTACCAATTTTCATAGTTTATTTTGAAGGAGAGGTAAAGTATAAAATATTTTTACAATTTTTCATTTACAATTTTTTATTAATACAATTTATTTATTCAATAGGTTTTTGGTGCATTTTCAGGAAAAAATTTTGGTGTAAATCCTATTTTTGTTGACTGTATAAACTCTGTTTTAGAAAAAATTCAATTTGAACCTTTATTAAAACCCTCAAAAAAAATCAACTCTGATCTTTTATTATACGATTTACCAACCAAATTAAAAGAATGCATTGATCAATATTCAGATTGGGAGAAAAAAAGATCAATGTTTACTGATGAGGAAAAGAATAATTATTTTATGACACTAACCAATAAACATTTAAACAATGTAATCCAATTAAAATCAAATAAAGACTATCAATTCATATGTATGTACTTATAAAACCATTTATAATAATTGATTAATAAATTAACATCTATTTTTTTGATTTATAGATGGTTTTGAAACGATCATTGTTGGTGAAGAAATATTTTATATTTTCGATGTAAATATACATAAATTTAATTTTTTTTTTTTCAAAAATTATATTAATTATTTTTTTTACCCCAGTATTTATCAAAAAGTCCATTTAATTTAATTGGTTCAATTTATGATATTGCTTTATACGTTTATGGTCAAGAAGATAGCTGTCAACAACTCTTAAATTTAAATTTCTTTAAACATTTAAATTACTTATTTTGTTATAGTGTAAAGGTTGTCAAAGGTCATTCAAAAATTGAATATTCCCCATTAAATGGTTTATATTATTTAAACAGGTTATCAACCAACAACAACAATGATGATAATAATAAAGATAACCTCACCAACTACTCAAAAATTACGATTGGCTCTATTAAATATAATATTTTAGAAATTTTAAATTTAAACCATCACAAAGATAATGATTTACATTATGATTATAAAACAATGATTTTATTATTAGAAACTACCAATACAAACGAAGTAAGTATTCAAACCAATATATTGTTCAATTATTCAATTTATTAATAAGATTTCTTTTTATATATAGAAAATTTATTGTATTCGAAAACAAAAGAAGGATGTTTTGACTGAAGATATAATAGATGAAGTTAAATTTGAAGAAATTGATAATAATAAGTTTAAAGAATTTAATGATCAAATCATTGTTCCATGCTATATTGTTCAAGATATTAATACATCGTATTATTTCTTTAAATCTGAATTAAAAATCAAATCAATAGAAGACATAATTGAAAAAGAGTAATTATTCATGAACATAACTACACATATATATAAAAATAAACTCATATTAATATTTATTATATTTCTTTTAATAGTTACAATGATATCAGCATAATAAGATCATTATTATATTATTTCGAATATTTTTTATCAAACCCATCAAACTCAAGTCAAGTGATTTTAATTAAATCAAAATCAGTTTTAGATCAACAAACAGAAGATTTTTTAATTTATTTCGATGTTTCATATTTTATAAAAAGAGTCTATGGTTTTTATATTGAAAGTAGTAATTGGGATAAATATATTAGCACAATTTATTCAGGTAAATCACTTTATTCAAACTATTTCATGACCAATAAAAATAAAATATTAAATGATAAAACTAGTTTAGAAATTATTGAAAGAAATAACGACAAAATAGATTATATTATTGGTTATGACAAAATATTTAATATTGAAGAAATTAAAAAAATTAAAGAAAATGTTCATTTAGTCAAAATAAATAATAAGGTAAATATTTTATATTTATTTAGATTAAATTGAAAGTTTATTGACATTTTATTTTAAACTTAGTTTTATATTCAAAAAATTACGGGTTCAATTAGAGAAACCAAAGAAATGTATTTAACAGGTGAAAATTGGGATTTTATCCAACCAATTTCTAAATATAAAAATAATTTTTTTAATGTTAAAGAAAAAGAAAGTTTATCAGAACAATTCTCAAATTTTGAAATCGATATTTTAAAACATTTATTTAATTCAGAGTTTTTAATATTAAACATGATAAAAGGGATGGAAAGAGTTGTTCAAATATACGACTATTATTTAGATGATGGTTTAATTTACATTTTAATAGAAAACTGTGAAAATACAACCAATCTCTCTGAATTTAAAATAAAAGATCCATCACAAATTACTCAAATATTAAAACAAATGGTTAATATTTTAGAAAAATTAAAAGAACATGATATTTATCATTGCGATATTAAAAATGGTAAGACAGGAATAATATAAAAAATAGACTACTTTTTTTTACTAATATAAATTTATTATCACAGAAAATATTTTAATTCAAGAGAATAATGGTGAAATACAATGTATTTTAGCTGATTTTGGTACTTCAGGAATTGGTTCAGAGTTAAAGAAAGACGAAAAGAAATATTACTCAAGAAGTGGTAGCAGAAATTACCAACCAATTGTAAATATAATATAAATATTAAAAAAAATAAATAAAAAATTCTAATTATATTTTATTTAGGAAATTTATATCAAAAAATACAGAAGCAAAAACCCAATTGAATCACTTGAAAATAAATATGATATCTTTAGTTTAGGCTGTGTTATCAAATCCTTATTTAATGATAACAAATTAAAAGCAGGCGAAGAAATTAATACAATTATTGAAAAAATGACCAAATTATATGTATGTATAAACTATTTATAATATAAATATTTTTATAAACCCATACACTAACATTTTTCAAAATTCTAAAATAGTATGATGATCGTATAAATTTAGATGAATTAAAAATTAACCTATCGTCTTTAACAAAACCAAATTATCAATAAAAAATAAATAAATAAAATTATAAAGTTTTTAAATATGAAAAGTTCTTGTTTAAATTTATTTTTTAAAGTATTAATAGTCATTTCTTTTAGTTTGTTAAATCTACCTATTATAATATAATTTTAATCCACATATCACTTATCAGCAATGTACAATCCAATACTTTACCAATAATTTAAAATCATTTTTACAACTATAAAGAAAACCGAAATCTGTTCGAGAAAAAAAAAATTTTAATTTTTTTAAAAAAAAAAAGTGTTTTGTAATAAATGAGGTATTTTGATGTGTTTATATTATTTATTTTTTACAAAAAAATTATAGAAAAATAAAGCAATTGTTGATCTTCAAATTGAATATAAAATCTTTATTTATTTATATATTTTTAATATTTTTATTAATCGAAAAATAAAATATTAATTTTTATATGTAAAAAAGACTTAGAAAAATTTCGATTTCCCATATAAAAATTAATATGTAAAAAGACTTAGAAAAATTATCATTTTCCATATTAATTTTATATGTAAAAAAAAGACTTAGAAAAATTTTGATTCCCAAAATTAAAATTACCATTTATCATATTAATTTTGGATGTAAAAATAATTATTTTTTTAAAAAAAAAACTGTGCGTACCAGTACAATTGGGTACAATTGAGTTTTTTTATAAAAAAAACTGTAAAAATAATTATTTTTTAAAAAAAAATGTTAAAATAATTATTTTTTAAAAAAAAATGTAAAAATAATTATTTTTTAAAAAAAAACTGTTCAAGCTGGTGCAAGACAACAAAATTAAAAAAAAAAAAAAATTTTTAAAAAAAAAATCAGCAAAACCGAACGCTCCATGGTGGAGCGAAATGCAATAATTTACTTTTTTTTTATTTTTTAAGTTTTTTTTTTGTTTTTTTCAATACCAAAATTTTTCAAAAAAAAAGAAAAAAAATTTTATTTTTTTATTTATTTTTATTTAGCTTTAATCCACCCAAATGAAAGAATACAATAATAAATATCATAAAGTTAGGAAACTATCATCTAATTTAGATAGAGTCGTTTATTTATATGAAAATATTCAAGAAAAAAAAGTAATTATTAATTTATAAAAAAAAAAATACAAATAAATTTTTGGCCGTATATTTAAAAAAATCATACTAACTGATTTTTAGCTATATATTTGTAAAAAAATTAAACTGTTTAATTTAGAAACTTTAAATGATTCATAGCTGTCCATATTTGAAGAAATTGATAGCTGTCAACAACTCTTAAATTTAAATTTTTTTAAATTTTTAAATTATTTATTTTGTTATTGTGTTAATATTGCCAAAGGTCATTCAAAAATCGAATATTCCCCATTAAATGGTTTATATTATTTAAACAAGTTTTCAATCAACAACAATGATAATAATAATAACAATGATAATGATAATCTCACCAACTACTCAAAAATAACGATTGGTTCTATTAAATATAATATTTTAGAAATTTTAATTTTAAACCTTCACAAAGACAATGATTTATTTTTTGATTATAAAACAATGATTTTATTGTTAGAAACTACCGATACAAATGAAGTAAGTATTCAAACCAATATATAATATAATTATTCAATTTATTAATAAGATTTCTTTTTATTCATAGAAAATTTATTGTATTCGAAAACAAAAGAAGGGGTTTAAAAAAGTAGATGAAGTAAAATTTGAAGAAATTGATAATAATAAGTTTAAAGAATTTAATGATCAAATCATTGTCCCATGCTATATTGTTCAAGATATTTATACATCTTATTATTTCTTTAAATCTGAATTAAAAATCAAATCAATAGAAGATATAATTGAAAAAGAGTAACTATTTGTGTATTACTACACACAATGAAACATATATTAAAGTTATATTAATTATTATAAAATTTTATTAACAGTTACAATGATATCAGCATAATAAGATCATTATTACATTATTTCGAATATTTTGTATCAAACCCATCAAACTCAAATCAAGTGATTTTAATTAAATCAAAATCAGTTTTTGATCAAGAAACAGAAGATTTTTTAATTAATTTCGATGTTTCATATTTTATAAAAAGAGTCTATGGTATTTATATTGAAAGTAGTAATTGGGATAAATATATTAGCAAAATTTATTCAGGTAAATCACTTTATTCAAACTATTTCATAACCAATAAAAATAAAATATTAAATGATATAACCAGTTTAGAAATTATTCAAAGAAATAACGACAAAATAGATGTTATTATTGGTTATGATAAAATATTTAATATTGAAGAAATCAAAAAAATTAAAGAATTTGTTCATTTAGTCAAAATAAATGATAAGGTAAATATTTAATTGGTCAATATTTTATATTTATTAAGATTAAAATTGAAAATTTATTAACTTTTTATTTTAAACTTAGTTTTATATTCGAAAAATTACAGGTTCAATTAAAGAAATAAAAGAAAATAGTTCATTAGGTGGAAATTGGGCATTAAACGAACCATCAGATAAATATAAAATAAATTCACTCAGCACTGACTTAAAAAGATTTATGTCAGCACTAAAACCAATTTTTGAAATCAATATTTTATTACAACAATTTAATTCAGAGCTTTTAATATTAAATATGTTAAAAGGGGTGGAAGGAGTTGTTCAAATATACGACTATTATTTAGGGGATGGTTTTTATTACATTTTAATAGAATACTGCGAAAATACAACAAATCTCTCAGAATTTAAAATAAAAGATCCATCACAAATTACTCAAATATTAAAAAAAATGGTTAATATTTTAGAAAAATTAGAAAAGCTTGATATTTATCATCGTGATATTAAAAATGGTAAGACCAGAAATAATATAAAAAATAGACTACCTTTTTTTTACTAATATAAATTTATTATCACAGAAAATATTTTAATTCAAGAGAATAATGGTGAAATACAATGTATTTTAGCTGATTTTGGTACTTCAGGAATTGGTTCGGTGTTAATGAAAGACGAAAAGCAATATTACTCAAGAAGGGGTAGCAGAAATTACCAACCAATTGTAAATATAATATAAATATTAAAAAAAATAAATAAAAAAATTCTAATTATATTTTATTTAGGAAATTTATATCAAAAAATTCAGAAGCAAAAACCCAATTGAATCACTTGAAAATAAATATGATATCTTTAGTTTAGGTTGTGTTATCAAATCCTTATTTAATGATAACAAATTAAAAGCAGGTGAAGAAATCAATACAATTATTAAAAAAATGACCCAATTACATGTATGATAAACTATTCAAAATATAAACCAAATATTTTTATAAACCCACCCATACACTAACATTTTTCAAAATTCTAAAATAGTATGACAAACGTATAAATTTAAAAGAATTAAAAGAATTAACTGATCATCTTTAACAGAAATAGTTTTAAAATTAATTAAAATTAATTAAAATTTTATTTGTATTTTTTTTAAAATTTATTTCTTATTACCTGTGATATCTCTTTTGATGTTTTACTTCATATGAGGTCTATTTTTTAACAACTAAACTTTAATATGAAAATATAATTTAGAACGTAACGTAATAATATTTATGGGATTTTTAAAGATGGTGGACCTATTTTTTATATTTGTATAAAGTACTATAGTATATTAATGGCGATAGAGAAAAGTATAAATAGGGGTCGTTTTGTATTAATTGCTAACCACGAATTTTGACCTACCCCTTCAATATGAAGAGTGCAAAGGTTAACACGACTTTTATTAATTTATTTTTATAATTTTTTTTAGTAATTTACCCTCAGGTTATTGAATTTTAATTTTTTTTTTTTTTTTTTTTTGATGTTCTTTTGTTAGCTTGTATGGCTATTTCACTAGTCTTTTTTGGAGCTTTAAGTAGTTCTCTTTGACTCTATCTTCTATTATTTCCATATGGTCTTCTCCTGGTTGCTCTACTTCCTCTTTCTTACTGAATCTGGTTTCCTTGGAGCGAGCGTTGATATGGTTGATAGCTTTGGATTTGATAATCTCGACAAGTTTTCGTTGTAAGTTGAGGTGAGATGTTTCCTCGTGGTTTTAATGTTGCTAATCTGATTATTGGTTTCTCCAATGACTTCTTATTTGCTTCATTAAGCTGATCTATAATAGCTTTTACTGGGGATATCTCTTTTGATGTTTTACATACTATGAGGTCTATATCTTCCATGGCGGTGGGTGGTTCCTCTCTCTTTGATTGTTGTTCTTGATCATCTTTTAATTTGTTTTTGTCAATTGAGTTTTTTTCATTTTCTGCAATTGTGTAAAAGAGTGGGTAATCTTCTATTTGGAAAACTTATAAACAACCAAAACAAACAAATAAATAATAAATAATAAAATACCTTATAATGAGACTTTTTGTGATCTTTATTTATGAGTTTTTATGCCTTAATTTAGGCGAATTATTTCTGAAAAAAAATTAAAAAAATTAAAATAAAAATTTCGGTTAAAAGAAATTTTTATGAAACACGTTGCAAGAAGCCATCGTATTACTTTTTATGGGAAAAGCTTTATAGGCTAAAAACCCAATTATATATTATATTTATATATTAACTAATATGTGAGTGTCTACAGTTCTTCGCAAAAGTTTTGAACCCCTTTTTTAAAATTTTTTTATTTTAATTTATCTTCAATAATTTTAATTCCAATTATTCTAAAAAATATAAAATAAATTTTAGAACATTTGAACTATATTTTTTTATAAAAAAAAAATAAAATAAAATTTTTTTTTTTGAAAATTTTTTTTTTTTTTTTTTTACATATAAAAAAAATGGGTTCATTATTTTTAAAAAGATAATTTAAATTTTAATATATAATTTATTTTTTAAACGAAATTTTTTTTTTAATGTTTTGTTTCTTGATATTTTGTGAATTCACCTTAGTTCTTATTTATTTGTTGTATTTTTATTGAGGTTGATTCATAAAGATTATCAAATATATCCTCTGATGAATATTTTTTAAAATTCAACAAATTAAAAGATTGAAATTATGACGTGGGTACCCGATAGAAATCAATTTTATACGTCGTTTTACTATTGACCATATATTCTCAATAATATTAAGATCTGGTGAACAGGGTAGAATAAATATCACCCTAATGTACATTTTTTCTTAAAAATCGGCCAATAATTAGGTCATATGAATAGAGCAATTGACTTGTAAAAGAAACATATGACCAGATAAAATTCATTTCTCTCGTAAAGTTCTTCTATAACCCTGTATTAATATTTTTAAATTATTTGCAGCATTTGTGTTAAACCTGATAATACATATACGACCTGCACTATGAGCTGTGCAACAACATCATGTATATATTGAGCTGCCACCTCATCTTCGTTTGGCCAATATGTTTTGTTTTAGGTTTCTTGTATCATGAATCCATTTTTTAGTTTTCAGTTAATAAGAAAATCCTTCAATTCTGGTTTCTTCAACAAATATTACCCTTTTCCCAATTTTCAGCTGCCCAATTTTGGCACTTTTTTACCCACCTTAGCTTTGAGACATATATTTTTCGGTTGGAAAGTGTTTACATTTTAAACTTTTTAAAAAAACATTATTATGTTGTAGAGACCTACTATTTGAACTTATTGAAACATTTTTTTGAAAGTTTTTTCTAAGATATCTTTTTATATTACTTAAATTATGACATTTCCCATTTCAAATTTATTTTCTACAATGTCTTTCAATTCGGTCGTCCATCTTTCTTATTATGCCAGGTAATGTATTTTCTTCAATTGTACCTTTTTCTAGATTTTTTTTAAAAAATTCTCTTAACTGTGGACCTACTTCACTCAATATATCTTTAACTTTTTGATGATTTTTTGCTTTTTTGTAAATTTTTAAAATCACATTTATTAACTCTAAAAAAAGGGTCATTATTGTTTTTTTTTTCTATTTTTTATTTATATACTGTCCTATTTGTTTTTAAAAAAAAATTAAAATAAAAATAAAAAATTATAATAAAATTGAATTATCTTCTCAAAAATTTAGACCCCATTTTATATGGGCGCTATAAAAAAAAAATTAAAAAAATTTTTTAAAAAAATAAATTTTAAATTTTTATTTAACAAAAAAAATATAAAAAAACCGTATAAGTTTATCTATAAATATTTTTAAAATGGATTTATAGTCAAAAACCTAAGATAAGATTAAAATTAAAATTTTTTTCTAATGTTTTTTATAAGGGGGTCAAAACTTTTGCGAACAACTGTA